CTACCCAGGACAGGGGATATCTTTCCATTTTTTTATATCCTCTTCAATTTCTTTTTTCAGAGTGCTGTAGTTTTCAGTGTAGAGATCTTCTGCTTCTTTTGTTAGATTGATTCCTAGATACTTCATTTTTTTGGATGCTATTGTAAAAGGAATTGTTTCCCTTATTTCTCTCCGTGAGTCTGTTATTTGTGTATAAGAAGGCTACTGATTAAAGATCTAAATATTAAAACAGAAACATTAAACTTGCTGTAAGGTAAGTTAGGCAGAACTCTGGAAGACATTGGTATAGGAAAAGACTTTATGAACAAATCCTCAGTAGCACGGGAACTAGCAGATAGAATCAACAACTGGGATCTCATCTTACTAAAAAGCTTCTGTACTTCAAAAGAAACCATCAGAAGAACTAAGAGACAATCTAAAATGTGGGAAAAAACTTTTACCAGCTGTTCCTCAGACAAAGGACTATTATCAAAAGAACTCAAAACAATCAGCCCCCCGAAATATAAAGACCCAATTCAAAAATGGGCATCCGAAATGAACAGATATCTCAAAGAAGTAAAAGCAGCAAGTAAATATATGAAAAAATGTTCCACATCACTGATCATTTGAGAGATGCAGATGAAAACAACACTGAGATTCCACCTCACCCCACAAAGAATGGCTGCTATCAACAAATCACACAATAACAAATGTTGGCGGGGTTGTGGGGAAAAAGGAACCCTTCTCCATTGTTGGTGGGAGTGCAGACTGGTGCAACCACTATGGAAATCAATATGGAGATACCTCAAAGAACTTGAACTGGAGGTTCCATTTGACCCAGCCATCCCTCTGCTGGGTATCTTTCCAAAAAAACTAAAAGAATCATATCACAGAGAAGTATGTGCACCCATGTTTATAGCGGCACAGTTTGTAATAGGTAAATCTTGGAAACAGCCCATTTGCCCATCCGTTGGAAACTGGATAAAGAAGATGTGGTTTCTCTATAAAATGGAATATTACTCAGCCATAAAGGACAAGAAAATAGATTCATTCATAGGAAAATGGATACATATTGAAGATATACTCCTAAGTGAAATAAATAAGTCACACATGTGTAAATACCAAATAGTTTCCCTGGTGTGAATAATATGCAATAATACACAAGATCCTAATAAGATTATTGACATTTAGAAATGGGAAGAAAGGAGCTAAAGGTGTAGGGAAGGTGGGATGGGTAGGGGAAGGGTAGTAAGGGAAAGGAAAAAAATGTGAGAGAATGAAAAGATGAAAATAAAGTGTTTGTAGATGGGGAGGGGAGGAGAGGGTGAAGGGAGGGCAGGGGTAAGGGGAAAAAATGAGAATCAAGACTTGTCATGTAGAGGTACAAGATCCCAACAATGAATGTAACTATACTGTATCCCTAAAATGTACCAATAAACTCAATTAAAGCTGAAAAAAAAATAGTTGGAGATGACTATAGCAACTCTTAATAAAGGACAGAAGTAAATATAAGCAGGATTTAAAACAGTAAATTAGCTGGATTTAACAGACACATACAAAAAATTTACCCAACCACAGCATACACATTCTACTAAAGTGTACATGAGACATTCTCTGGGAGAGACCATATAATAGGCTACAAACTAAATATCAAATGATGTAAAATCAAAGATATCTTTTAAAATGTGTGCCTCAACCACAAAAGAATAAGGTCAGTTATCAAAAACAAAAAATGGATAATTCACAATTATGTGGAAATTAAACAACATACTCTCAAATAACTGATTGAGTAAAGAAAAAAATCTCAAAAGAAAAATAGAAAATACTTACAGATGAAAGAAAACAGAAATGCAATATACCAAAACTCATGTAATATAACAAAGTACTGGTAAAGGGGGAATTTTTAGCTATAAACACATTTTTTAAAACTCTGAAATCAACAACCTAACTTTACAATTTAAGGAACTAAAAAATGAAAAACAATCTAAACCACAATCTAGCAGAAAGAAAGAATAAACATCACAGTCTAGATAAACTGACAGAAAATGCAGAAAATCATTGAAACTAAAAGTTCTTTCAAAAGATAAACTGATGAGTCTTTAGCTAAATGGACTGATATCAAAGAAGACTCAAAATGTTAAAATGAGAAATGAAACTGAGGACATCACTACTAATTCTAAAGAAATAAAAGGAATGATTTGAGTAAAACGAACAATAGTATGTAAAAAACTTGGATAACTTAGAGAAAATGGACAAATTCCTAGAAATACAAAACCCATGAAAACTAAACCACAAAGAAACAGAAATGTTGTGCAGACCTGTACCCACACCAGTATGGATGCTGCTATGGTTCGGCTGTGGAACGTCCACCCCCATGACTCATGTGTTGAAGGCTCAATCCTCAGTGCAGCAACCCTTGGAGGAGGGGCTTTGTAAACATGATCAAATCCTGAGAACTCCAGACTCATCCATAGGCTCATCCACTGATGCATTCATAATTTGATGGCATTATTGGAAGATGGGGAAAATTTTAAGAGGTGCACCCCAGTGAGTGGAAGTAGGTTACAGGGTGCATGCTTTGGAGGCTTATATATATCTTGACCCAGACCCTCCCTTCCTTCCTCCCCTCTCCTCCACTGACCTCTCCCCTCTCTTCTCTTCCTTTCTCCTTCCTCTTGCCCTCTCCCTCTCCCTTTCTCTCTCTCTCTCACCAGTCTTCCCTCCCACACTCTGCTTCTTGCTGTCAGGAGATGAGCAGCTTCTCTGCCATAGCCTTCTACCATGATGTAGTGACTCACCACAGGCCCAGAAACAGTGGAACCAGGGACCATAAACTACTAAAAGCACAAAAACAAAATAAATCTTTCTCCCTTTAAGTGATTTTCTCAAGTATTTTGTCACAGTGATCTAAAGCTGACTAACACAAAGACTGAATGAGTAATCAAAAGCCTGGCAAAGAAAAGCTCTGGGCCCGATGGCTTCACATTTAAAAAGCTAATACCAATCCTTTTCAAACTTTTCCAGAAAATCAAAGAGATAAGTATACTTTTTAATGCCAGCACTACTCTGATGACAAAGTAAAGACACTACAAAAAAAAAGAAAATACAGAACAGTATCTTCCTTTAACATTTATGTAAAAATCCTCAACTAAAAATTAGCAGGATAAATTTAGCAGCACATTAAAAGGATTTTAAACCATGACCAAGTGGTATTAATCTCTAGGTTATAACTACGGTTCCATATAAAAACTGGTTAATGTGCACCCATGTTTATAGCGGCACAGTTTGTAATAGCTAAATCTTGGAAACAACCTATTTGCCCATCCGTTGGAAACTGGATAAAGAAGTTGTGGTTTTTCTATAAAATGGAATATTACTCAGCCATAAAGAGCAAGATTTACTGACATTTAGAAATGGGAGGAAAGGAGCTAAAGGTGTAGGGAAGGTGTGATACGTAGGGGAAGAACAAAAAGGGAAAAGAAAAAAATGTGAGAGAATGAAAAGATGAAAATAAAGTGTTTGTAGATGGGGAGGGGAGGAGGGGGTGAAGGGAGGGCAGAGGTAAGGGGAAAAAATGAGAATCAAGACTTGCCATGTAAAGGTACATGATCCCAACAATGAATGTAACTGTACTATATCCCTAAAATGTACCAATAAACTCAATAAAATTTAAAAAACAAAACAAAACTGGTTAATGTAACAAACTACGTTAACAGAATAAACGGGAAAACAACCAAATGATCATCTCAATGCAAAAATATTTTCCATAAAATTTAACACTTTCATATGCATATGCATGTTTGATGTGGTCTCACTATGGTGCCCAGGCTGGCCTTGGTCTTAAATAATCCTTCTGCCTTATTCTCCCAAAGCAGCTGCAAATACACATAGCACCACAGCCACCTTCAACACATTTTTTATGATTTTTTAAAAATCTGATAATCTAGGAATAGAAGGAAACTACTTCTGTATAATAAAACTATATGTGTAAAATATATAAAAGCCCATAGAAATATCTTCCTCAATGGTGAAAGATTAAAGGATTTTCCTCTATGATCATGAAAAGCATGCCTGTACTCATCACTTCCATTCAACACTGGAAGTTCTAGTCATGGTAGTTAGAAAAGAAAATAAATAAGCATTCAAACTATAAAGAAAGAAGTAAAATTATCTTTTTTGGGTGATTTAAGCTTATGAGTAGGAAACTTTCAATTTTTCACTAAAAAAACCTACTAGAATGAATAAGTGTAGCAAAGTGGCAGGATATAAAGTCAACAAATAAAAATTAGTTTGTATTTGTATATATTTAAAAATGAACATTGTGAAAAGGAAATTACAACACAATTCCAATTACAGTAATATCAAAAATAATAAAATGCTTAAGAATAAATATAGTGAATATTTAATGAGATTAAATACTTGTACAAGTAAACTATAAAATGTTCCTGAAAGAAATCAAAGACATACATAAATTGAAACACATCCCACATTTGTGAATTAGAAAATAGTAAAATGCTGATACTAACCAATGTGGAGATGGATATACAATATTATTAATATATTAGAATGACTAAAATGTTACATAAAAATGATTTAGATGATGAATTTTGCTATGTACATTTTGCCAGAACAAAAAAATTGGGGGACTGGGCATGTTGGTGCACAGCACTCAACAGGCTGACACAAGAGGACTGTGAGTTCAAGGCCAGCCTTGGCTATAAGTTTGAGGCCAGCTTGGACAACACCGTGAGAACAAGCTTCAAAAAAAAAAAAAAAAAAACCAAGGAAATATATTAATTTCTATTAACTGGAATCCAGTAAAGAAGTTCCAAATTACTCAGAGCCTAGTAAAATGATCTTAGTAAATACAAAAAAGGTTTTACAAAGATAGCTTCAATTTATAGCAACTAATGTATCAAAATTCTTAAATAAATTATTACATTTTATAAAACTTTATAAAAGTATTATGTGTGATGAAACTAAAACAATAACAATTTTAACAAAAGTAAAACAGACAATACCTTGGAGGCACGAATCTGCCTATGAACATCTGTTAGTTGTTGGATTTTGTATTCTAGCTCTGAAATCTGGGCTTGAAGCCAGGTCCATCTGCTGCCAACTCTTGCTCTGTCTACAAGCCACTTCCATTCAGTACTACAGTTACTGTGAATAAGAAGAACAGTGTTAGTCAAAGCACAAAGCCAATGAAGATTTCACAGACTGCTTAATAACTTCCTTGAGTCCTAGCATAAAATCCTACTTCCTTTACAAAACAGCTAATTACATGAAAAGAGAATGGCAGATTGACTTCTTACCAAAGAAAAAGATTAAATTTCCATGCCATTTCACTCACAAATAGTTGTTTGTATTAGCATTGTGTACCCAGTAGTAAGATAATCCTTTTGCAGTCTAATACTTCGTTAATGGTAAACACTTAGATAGGGATCAGCCAGCAAAGAAAAGTAAACATAAATGATAATACCAACACCATGTAAAAACTGATACATGAGGTCTTATGTGAACTAGATAGCAAGCACTGGACAAACCATATCAACTAGATCTAGATCCATGTAGCAAACTATACTGTATTCTATGTAATTTTATGTAATTTTCAGCGACTAAACCAAGCATCACTATTAGTTAACTTCATAAAGTCAATTTAAAGACACAAAAATATTAAAATATGAAATTTCAAATAATAACTATACCAAATATACAGGTCTTGAGAGATACTAACTATAACAATATATAATAACATATATAATAACTATACCAATACAATAAGTATACCAAATATACAGGTCTTGAGAGAGTTTTAAGATAAATGGTTTGTTAAAAATCTGATTCCCAGGATTCACAACCAAGAGATCAAAATGAAATTATATAAAGCCATTCTTTCAAGTACATTCGTAAATAAAAATGGAATCCTTGCTCCTTCTAGTTCCCCAGCCATTTGGCAAGGACACTGTTCTATTCCATAGTCTGTGAGATTACAGGTTAATTACCTTATATGATATTTCAACCACCTTAATTAGAAAACAATTATTTGGAATTATAGATGATATGTGCATGTGTGTGTTTGAGCATGTGTGTATATTACAAATCGCCAAGGAAAAATAGGGAAGAAATTGATGGGAAGTAACTATTTAGTGACAAAATTTCACTTAAAAAATCTAAAAATCTATTTATTGTCAAAGTGAACCACAATATAAATTACGTACTTTGAGTTCTAATGCGTCAACAAAGGTTCATCAATTATAACAACTGTACACCGCTCTGGTGTTAGATGTTGATAGTAGAAGTTGCACATTTGTAGGGATAGGGGTATATGAGAACTCTCTGTACATTTCACTCAATTTTGCTGTGACCTAAAATTACTCTTAAAATTTATTATTTTTTAAAAATACATCTAAACATAAGGCTGTATCTTTCATATTACACTTTAGCCAAACACTTGTTTTTAGAGATTATTTGCTGTCAGATAAACAGAAGGCAATTAATGTGGCTTTACTGTATATAATTTATGCATTATAACAAGATTTTATATCAGTATATTAAAAGGTTATTGATAAAAAGATTTTTATTGCACATAATGTGATAAAAGATATATGTATTACAATTTCTCTTGGTATCATTATTCATTTAATAGTCATTATTGTGATTTTGTAAATTTGACACACTAGAAAATCACTTTCATAGATATGGTCAAAATGAAAGAGAATGCCCAATTAAAATTCATTATTCATAGATAATATTTAGTAACACAGAAGCTAATTATAAAACTTAGGAAGGCAAGGACCATACCATACAGTACCTTGTACATGAGAGGGTATAGAGTTTGAATTTTAATGCAAAATGTAAACTATAGCCAAAGCAAAACAAATTTGTTTTTTTAAGCACTTGTCAACTAGGTGAAGAAAGCATTATAGCAGGATATGAAATGAAATGAGGAAACCAATTAAAATGCAACTAAAACCATCTAATTGTGGTATAAATAGTAGGCCCCAAATATTTCACTGCTACTCTACATTTCCCAACCTTCTTTGCACTTGGATTGGAACCATGTGACTAGTAATGATCAATAGGCTGTGAACAAAAAAGGACATTGTCATTTTCAGTCCATCTAAGGATCTTCAAAACCACTTGTACAAATAGTATAGCTAACAAGACCATACTATTATATTTTAGTAGGAAGAAGATCATAGTCCAAACCCCAGTGGATTTTCTGTAAGACACTATAGACCTTTGCTGAGTTAAACCACTGAGATTAGCAGGCTAATTTTTGACTCAATATAATCTATTCTGACTAAAACACTGAATATGAAAATGGTTTGGAATGGAAAGAGGAGGGCAGCCAGGCGTGGTGGTGCACGCCTGTAATCCCAGCATGCGGGAGGCTGAGGCAGAAGGATCACTGTAAATTCGAGACCAGCTTAGGCTACATAGTGAGTGAGTTCTAGGTCATTCTCAACTACATAGTGAGACCCTGTCTCAAAAAACAAAACACACACACACACACAAAAGAGGAGGACAGATAAAGTAAGAGGGTGAACTCATTTCATTTTAAAGTTAATGGGCTTGCAGAAGCACAGCATTGAAGTAAACATGAGACAATTAAAATAATCTTACATATTCATTGTTTTCCAGTTGGAAAATTTACCAGTAACATGCAGTTTAGTATGACTATCAAGTTAATAATCAAATATAATAGAAAAAAATATTCATTTCTTCTTCATTTTGAACTTCTGGTAAAGATATTCTGATTCTGAAATGAGTATTAAAAATTATTTTCATGTTAATACATTCTATTAAAATTACACTTACAAAAACAAATACAAGATTAAATTTAAGTAAACAAAATCATGCCAAAACCTTGTGATGTATGAGATGAATTATGTATCTCACATTTTAATAAGAGTGAATAAAATGTTTGCTATGCTTAAAAGTGGTAGACATGCTTGCCACTAAAAATGCTCCCTTGCTTGAAATGTTTTCTTTAAAAATAATTATGGTTGTAAACATGTAACACATGAGCTAACTTGCTGAAAGGAGATTAACAACTGTGGTATCCTAAAGGCAAAACATAGTTTGCATAAACAATTTATGTAACCAATGATATAATGACTAGTAAAACATGTAGTGTAACCAATCAGAATATAGCTGATGGAATAGCAAACCTGTAAGATTTGAGATATACCCAGAGTATCCAAAGAGATAAATTAGTTTATATGTCTAGCCTGCTAGACCATTAAGAACATTGACTTCCTGCATCTCTCTGAAGTGTGCTGAACTGATCACAGACCATCACATGCAGTCCATGACATGCAGCTCCTACCTCTAGTAAAGAGCAGGGCAAACACATCTGTGAGTGGAGACTACCTAGACAGTGAGAGAACAGTCAATCCCCAAAAGAATAGCAAATGCCTTCAGTCACCATGTTTGCTTGATTGTAGTCACCACTTAACTTGCTAAAGCAATTAAGTACAGTTGGTCAAGTAGTTTTGAGAGCAATTTTTTTGAATCAAATACTTTTTAACATTTTGAACCTACATCTCTCTTTGAAATGCAGTTCCTCAAAAAAGCCAGAGTTTCCCAATATTTACAATATTACATCTCAGATTACCAAGATTTCAAGAGATGCATAAAATAATCATAATTTTGCCTTTAATGCATAAAGACTTTGTCAGATTACTAATATAATGAATTAACTATGACTAGAGATCAAAAGAGAAGGTTCAGTTGTAAAAAAATGATGATTCCAAGCAAAGTAAGATTTGTCCTAGAAAAGATAAATTGGGCCTACCTTCCCTATTAGGAATTGCTTGCCCAGGAAAAGCTTATCCTTCCCTGGGTTTAGATTGGGGTGGGCAAACATTTTCAGTAAAAAGACAGAGTAAATGTAGGCTTTATGGATTACATGGTCTCTGTAACAAATACTCAACTCTATTTTTAGCATAAGAACAGCTACAGATAATACATAAATGAGTGGGTATAGCTGTGTTCCAATAAAACTTTATTTACAAAAAAGAGAGGGGGCCAGATTTGGTGCATGAGCTGTAGTATTCTAACCCCTGATGCAGATCATCTTTTCACATGAATCTTCTGCTTCCCAAGGGATTATTATTTCTTTTGACAATGTGCCTGTGCAAATGTTTTGCCAATATTAAGATTTTCTTATTAATACTGATACTAATATTATATGAGAATATAAGTATTGGAAACACTTTGTTTCAGTCTGTACCTTGCCTTTCATTCTGTAATGCTATTTCGAAAAGCAAAGGATTCTAATTTTGATGAAGCACAAACTTATCAAAAAATTTTTATTATTATTTTTGTGCACTAAGAAACTTTGCCTAACACAAAGTCACAAAGATTTTCTCATGTTTCTAAATTTTCAAGAAATTTTAGAGTTTGGTTTTTCGATCTATGATCCAATTCAAATGATTTCTTTGTGTATGGTGTGAGGCAATTTTTAAAAATAGGAAATCCAGCCCTGAACTATTTGTTGAAGAGATTTCATTTAGCAGATAGCTCCATCTCCTTACTATCCTTTATTTCCTAACCTAACTTGTAGTTAAGTCTGATTATGTGACAAAATTCTTGACAATAAGATGTGAGCCAAAATAATATGTGCAACTTCTGAGTCTTGATATTAAAACTGACTGGATGTATCCTTGAAATCACTAGGAGTGAAAATGAGATGAAGTTCTTAGGGAATCAGTTTCACCAATGCAAATAAGAGCAGCATCCTAGGAGATAGCAATAGGTCTCTCTTAAAACCCCTTGAAATATATCTAATTCTCAATTGCTAAATGAGATAAAAATAAATTTATATATTTATGTTTCATTATGACAACTTAATACATACCTTAATTAACAGATCCCATCTTCAAAATTATTTTATCCATTAGGATCATTTAGGTTAACAAATTCATGTTTAAAGTGTTCATTGTCTTTAAGGAGATTAAGCCTTGACATAAGTTAATAACTTTAATATTCTATCACCTAGCTGTACATACATGTACTCATGAAACAAAAAAGGAATTCACAATTAGTTGTGAACTCTAGCAATTGTGGCATGAAGATAAACCAAATTAAGAGGTGAGGCTTAGGATATCCAAGGACAATGACACTAGACTTTAAAAAGCCTTTTGAGAAGCAAA